CTCTACCAGCTCCACCTCCGCCGCCGCCGCCTCCGCCTCCTCCACCCCTCCCGCCACCGCCACCGCCGCCTCCACCTCCACCGCCGCCACCGAAGCCCCCACCTCTACCACCACCCCCACCCCCACCCCCGCCTCCGCCTCCACCGCCACTACCGCCGCCCCCACCACCTCCTCCAGCGCCCTTGCCCCGCTTGCCCTTGCTGAAGCGGCGCCTCTCACTAGGAGCAGACGCAGCGCTGACCGACTCGGTGCCAACAAGGTCGACAGCAGCAGCAGAGGCAACAGAGGGCAAAAGAGGAACGGGGGAGCACCCCTCAAAGAAAGGGGTACGGGGGTCACCACGAGAGGCGCCTACAGCGGTGATACTAGTCTCTGCTGCAAGGAGGCGCTCCTCGAGGAGGTCGACAGTGAGGGTGGTAGGGCAAAGAGAGAGGAAGTGGTCCCTGACCGAGCGGAGAGTGTCAGGGAGTCGAGTGACTAGGTAGTAGAGGGTGATGTACATGGGGGGGGGGTTCTGGGCGCAGAACTCAGCAGGAAGCGCAGCGCGGTAGCGAGTGTCACTAGTGCGGAGGTGCGTAGTGAGGTCAGTGACTGTGGCAAAAGCAGCGAGGTCAGGGAACAGGTACGGTAGCATGAGGCGACTAAGCGCAGCAGTGGCAGGGGAGGAGTAGCGTGCAACTACTGCGTCGTACAGAGTCTTAGCACTCTTGTACTTACTAAAGTGCGCGCGCTCAGTAGGCGGTAGGTGACTGCGCACAGCAAGGCGGGCAGCAGCATCGCGCGTGAGCCACTGTGAGCGAACGGTACTGTCAGCATCAGCAGCAGGGGCAGTAGAGGCGCCCGACGTAAGGTCAAACAGGGAGAGGCCATCTCTGCTATCGCACTGAAGGAAAAGCTGTAAGTCATCTAGCCAGACATCAAAGGCAACCGCTCGACCCTCAGCATCAAAGGTGAGAAGGGTAGGACTAGCCATGATAAGAGCAACAGGAGACTAGAAGCGGCAGCAGCGCAACGGAGCGAAGCAGGACAGTGCGACTCGGCAGGGCGACTCGGCAGCGCAGTGCGGCTCGGCCGCGCGGCTCGGCCCGGCTAGGCTCTTACCAGGGGCAGAGCCGAGAGTTCGGGACGGGGTCGGGGCCGGAACAGGGCCGGGACAGGGTCGGGGCCGAGCAGGGTCCGGGACGGGGCAGCAACGGGGCCGAGACAGGGTCGGGGCCGGGGCATGTCCGGGACAAAGCAGCAACGGGGCCGGGACAGGGTCGGGGTCGGGGCCGCGTGGTCGCGTAGGGGCCGCGTCAGGGACAGGGCCGGGCCGTGAAGGGACGGCGTAGGGGCCGCGTCAGGTGCAGTAGAGGGCCGCGTCAGGGGCGGCGTAGGGGCCGCGACAGGGGCGGCGCAGGGGTCGCAACAGGGGCGGCGTAGGGGCCGCGTCAGGGGCCGCGTCAGGGACCGCGTCAGGGGCCGCGTCAGGGGCCGCGTCAGGGGCCGCGGCAGGGGCCGCGGCAGGGGCCGCGTAGGGGCCGCGTCAGGGGCCGCGTCAGGGGCCTCGTCAGGGGCCGCGTCTGGGGCCGCGTCAGGGTCGCGTCAGGGGCCGCGTTAGGGGCGGCGTAGGGGCCGCGGTAGTGGCGGCGGAGGGGCCGCGTCAGGGGCCGCGTCAGGGGCCGCGTCAGGGGCCGCGTCAGGGGCCGCGTAGGGGCCGCGTCAGGGGCCGCGTCAGGGGCGGCGTAGGGGCCGTGTCAGGGGCCGCGTAGGGGCCGCGTCAGGGGCCGCGTAGGGGCCGCGTCAGGGGCGATGTAGGGGCCGCGTAGGGGCCGCGTAGGGGCCGCGTAGGGGCCGCGTAGGGGTCGCGTAGGGGCCGCTAGGGGGGGGGGGGGGCGCTAAAAAAAAAAAATTAGGGCAGGGGCGCAACGCGCGTCGGCAGCTAAAAAAAAAAATCGTTATGGTGGGCCCTTAGGAAGGAACGGTCCCATGTAGGAACCCGCTCTATACCATGTGAAGAAACAGGAATGAATGAACTAGGAAAGTGTGAGATACAAATATGAAAGCTGTACCCCTTAGTGTCTACCCCACTACAGCCTACATAGGCTAAGGCATATATATCTGACAAAGTGTTGTACCCTCTAAGAACTACCCCACTACAGCTTAAATAGACTATAGCAGATATAAGTTTGACACCTCCTAGCGCCACTCCCTCGGCTCCCACACATCCACCCCCCTCAGCGGCAACTGCAGCAGTGGGAGACGGAGGAGGAGGAGGAGCAGGGGACGACTCACACACCCGCCACCCCCATACCCGCCACCCCGCAGTTGCACGATGACAGGAGGCGGCAGGGGCGGCTCGCAAGCTGCAGGGGCGGCACGCGGGCTGCAGGGGCGGCTCGCGGGCCGCAGGGGCGGTTCGCGAGCTGCAAGAGGGGAAGCGCGCGGGCCCCCCGAGGGCGCCTCGATGGGCGACGGGAGGGGGGCCGCGCACGGGCCCTCGAGGGCGCCTCGACGGGTGACGAAAGTGGGGGGCCGCGCGGGCCCCCGAGGGCGCCACGACGGGCGACGGGAGGGGGCCGCGCGCGGGCCCCCGAGGGCGCCACGACGGGCGACGGGAGAAGGCCGCGCGCGAGCCCCCGAGGGTGCCGCGACGAACGACGGGGGGAGCCCGCGGGTCCCCAGGGTCGCCTCGACGGACGACAAGGGGGAGCGCGCGGGACGGAGCACGAAACCGCCGCGCTCTCCCGGGGCGCACGGCGGGCAGGAAACCGCCGCGCGCCTCGGGGCGCACGGCGGGCAGGAAACCGCCGCGCGCCTCGGGGCGCACGGCGGGCAGAAAACCGCCATGCGCCCCGAGCGCGTGGCGGGAAGAAAAAAACGTCGCGCGCCACGGGGCGCGCGACAGACAGGACAACAGCGGAAGCAGGTGGTCCCACAGGCCAGGAGCGATCTCGCTCTGATACCATGTTAGAAACCTAGCTAAGACTTAGTAGCCATGGCTAGGGTTTAGGGTACACGAAAGAGAAATGGAAGAAAGACAAATGAAAAAAGAGAAGAGGGGTTTCACTAGCAGGCAGTTGAGTACAGATAGCAAACCCTAACAGGGCTGTACTCACTATAGAGTACCCCACTGCAGACTAGAGAAATATAGCATTCTGACATAGATGCCTCCCTCGGATGGCATGCCATCCGATAGGGTTTTAGTTTTTTTCTGCCCGGGGCAGCATGTCGTCAAGTCGTCAACGGGTCGTCAGGCTTGACAACCCATTTCCGCTGGGATATTCCATACGTAATTAGTCATACCTCTCGTGTGTGAATATACTTCCTGGATGTGATGTCCTCACGCCATCTCCCCAACATCAACCTAACGGGACATACTTGATTCTTCTAAGTCGTATAATTGGCTGACCAGCCGAGGTTACAAATCAGGGCCTAATTTATCAGTGTAAATCACACTGCTATACTGATAAGAAGGGTGAAATTTAGGGCCTACACTGATGCGTTCGGGTAATTTTTTGGGGGATTAGTGTTACACTGATTTGACAGTGAAATGATTTAGGCCACACTGATGCTCTGGGGTAAATTTTCCCTTAGTGAAGATTACCCTTAAGGGCGTACAGGGCACCCCCCCCCCCTCGAAACTCTACTTATCGAGACGAAGTTTCCTAGAAATTTCGTAACGATACACTCAATTTCGTAATGATGCACTACGACGCCAGCACGTGAGTACTGACAACCAACACCGCGTCACCATGTCTGCTTGCAACCTACTGTAGAGGCGATGCAACCTGATTGGTCAAATCTGCACTCACTTCAAAAACTTTAACTTTCTTGACTCGGAAATTTGGGACTCGAGGTCCCCAAACCCACGTTCCCCCTAGGAAGCTTGCTGACTCGGCGAAAAAACAAGTGTTGCAGCGAAACCAGACAAGCCACTGCGCTCAACTTTAGAGTTCAGAAGCCCCACCCACCAGCGCCCAATTTGGGCCTCGAGCTTGGTTGCTGCCAGCACATACTGAGCTGCCTACATTACAATCAAGGTAAAAAATATACCTACACTGATGCCTCTAGGTAAAGTTTTCAAAAGTTCAAGTTACACTGATCCATCAGTGTTTCCAAAAAGGGCACACTGCTCATAAGGGTTTTGAAAAAGGCTACACTGCTAATCGTGAGTAGCCAAAACCCAAACATAGGCCCTGTTACAAAGGCTGCCCAAACACTGACCTCGGAAAATTTGCGAAGGCGATCCGAACGAAGCATCACTCATTTCCGCGCCAATATCTTCACCCAGCATAACAACATGGTGCTGTCCATGTGGATGAGAGAGAGAATCGCCACATCACCATAAACCAAGACTGTGGCTGCCGACCAACCAGTGACAGTGACCCAAAACCGATCCGCAGACAGAGCAAGCATTAGCTCGTGTGACTGACAGGGTGACGAGCGAACGAGGCTGTGCGACGAACTTTTGGGAGTTCCGCCGCCAATCTCTGCCCTTTGACGTCACAAAAGTGTTCAGGAGCCTTCGCATGGGAACTCAACGACGCTGGATGAAGCTGCCTTACAAATTGACGACCACGGCGAATTTTGCTCAAAGAAGATTGAATGACGATTCCTGCGCGTGTAACGGTCGTCAATCTAAGCTGCTGCATTGTCGATTTGGCTGGTTGAAACTCCGCGATGGATTGCACAAAGCTACCTTGCGAGCACGGCGACCGATATTATGGAGAGCCTGGGGATTGGGCAGCGAAGTCCTGCGCCCATGTTGTCGCCAATTCAGACGATTGGGTAACAGTTAGTAGTAAACAACTCGCAACAGAAAACTGTGAACATCCACTACACAATCACGTGTATGTTACATGTGTGAGATTTGTATCAGAAGTTTCTACATGCAAATTCGCTTTTATGTCAAAATAGATCCATTTGCATCCCTGGTATTGTTATACCATCTGCTACACGTCTTGGCCGAGGAAGACTCATCCAAACAACAAGCTACACAATGTCGTTTCTACATTTTTTTACATGCACGCATTAAGATAATCGTACGAATGTGCGAGGGTGTAGTCCAGCAGACTACTGTACGTGCGGTCCGCCACGCCAATGAAGAGTGCTTCTATATCAGGAGAAAAGGAGATGCTTGTAATCTCGCCGAGAATGCCGATCTCCTGTGCTCGGGTGAACCCGCTTCTCGTGTCAAAGACATGCACAAAGCCTGCTGGTTCCACCAAGGCCATGAACCTGGGCGAAGGGAGGAGTGGTGGGGGAGGCGGAGGGGCGGGGAGAGAGGGGGGGAGGAGGGGGGGGTTTGAGGTGATGTGCCATCATGTGCCAGCATGTGGCGAGCAGTGAAAGAAGGGAGGGTGACATGCAACATGGGAACGAGCATGTGGTGTCGAGAAAGAGAAGCTGCTTGTATTCAAGTCATACACCAAGTGTGCTGGCTCAGCCAAGGCCATCAACTTGGGTGGCGGAGGGAGGGAGAGGCAGAGTGTGACATGTCGAATGGGAATACGCATGCCATAAAACAGGCGGAAGTGTGTAATCTGTGGACCAAAAACTGCCATTGCCAATCTCTCCCCCCGCCCCCCCACCCCCCTTCCTCCACCACACACACTCACTTGCCATCGGTGGTGAATCTTAGCGTGAATCTGAGCGTGAATCCGACCGAATGGCCCCCAGTCGCCCCTTAAGCGTGAACAGGGAAGAGTCAGGGCACCGGCGGTCCCACACACGGTACGTGGCATCCTGGCTGCCAGTCGCAGAGAGGTTGCAGCCGCCCGGCTGTAGCGAAGGAGTAGTCCACGTGGCCTGAAAAGACAGTGCTGTTTGAGAGGCAGGGGTGGGAGTGTGGGGGATGAGGGGTATAAGGGTAGTGGTGTGGTGTGGAGGATGAGGGGGGTGTAGAGGATGAGGGGGATGAGACAAGGATAGACAAGGACCGAGAACGGAAGAAAAGAAAGGGTTCGTAAGGAGGTGAAGGTGGGTAAGCATAGGCAGGACAAAAAAAAAAAACAAAAAAAAAACAACAAAAACAAAAAAAACAGAACCGCAGTGAGCAAGGCAAGGGCATGGGCAGGGGTGGAGTGAGCAGGAGGGTGAAAAGGAGAAGGTATAGAGTGCGCAGGGATGCAAGGGAGAGCAGGGGTAGAGCGGGCGGGAGGCACAAACCTTGCCAGTAGTGAGGTCGAGCAGTAGAGCCTCAGGATCATCCCCCACCACTGACCCCAGTGCTGTCCGGTGCCACTGCCGTGTGCTGATGGGGGAAGGGAGGGAACGGGTGGTGGGGCGGATGATAGAGAATACGAGTCGAGAGAGTGATGGGATGAGAAAACAGGTAAAACAAGGAAGAGGCGGGGGGAAGGGAGATGAAAGAGCGGGCTCACATTGACGGGCCAGGGGAAGGATGTCGTCGCGAACGCGGTCGCGACTGTTGTCGCGAACGCCGTCGTGGATAACGTCGCGAATGCTGTCGAATTGAATTCCGCCACGGCCGTCGTCGCGAATGTGGTCGTGAACGTTGACGAGAAGGTCGTCGCGATTATCCTCACAAACATTGTCATGGAATTTGCTGCGGCCTGCATGACGGCATATTGATTGTTGTAAGAAACGAAGGCGAACAAAGGCATGACATGGCGAAAGCGTCGGAAGACGGGGTATCAATAACCGAACAGAAGGAGAAGAATAACGCGGCTCACCGACGACTATTTACCTTGAGACGACGAGTATCAAACGGAAACCACCGACGAGAGGCCGACGGAGAATGAGTAACGAAGGGGAACGAAAACTCGGCGCGCTGCAGCGACGGCGAGCAACGAAGATGACGGGCTCGATGATCGGCAATTAGTAACGTCCAGAGATCGTGTTGCGGTGATTAAGAGCTCATTCCGAGCTGCCGTGATAAGTGTCGAGCGGCCGTGGCGCTCTCTGTAACAAACAGCTGTCAAACATATGTATATCTATGTTATATTTTGGGTAGGCTTAGTGGGGTACACACTGTGGGGTACAACCCCTTAGGTTCATTTTCCTTGTACCAACCTTCTCGATAGTCGACATCACTCATGCCTAGCTTCTAAGATGGTATCTAGAGCATAGGTCTTTAGGACCTAAGATTAGGGCCCACCGATTACTGCATTACCTGCTGCCCACGCGCGCCTCGGCTGCAGGCGCGTGGCCCTTTTTTTTTTCCCCGTGCGCGCCACTTAAAGCAGCCCGCGCGCAGCCCGTTTTCGGCCTCGCGTGCCACGTCAGTCACCCGCGCAGCCTGCCGCCGGCCCGCGCGCCGTGTAAGCCGCCCGTGCGCAACCCGCTTAGGCCCTGCGCGCCGCGTCCGTGTAGCCCGTTTTAGGCCCCACGCGCCGTGTAGCCCGTTTTAGGCCCCACGCACCGTGTAGCCCGTTTTAGGCCCCACGCGCCGTGCCAGCCGCCCACGCAGCCTGCCGCCAGCCCGCGCGTCGCCACGAGCAGCCCGCAGCTGCGCGCGCTGCCCGTAGCCACGTGCAACCTGCAGCCTTGTGCCTGCTACCGCCTGCCTGTCGCCTGCCTGCCTGCCTGCTTGCTGCCTGCTAGCTGTCTGCTGCCACCTGCCTGTCGCCTGCCTGCCTGCCTGCTTGCTGCCTACTGCCGCCTACCTGCAGCCTGCCTACTGCCTGCCTGCTGCCGCCTGCCTGCTTGCTGCCGCCTGCCTGCTTGCTGCCTACTGCCGCCTGCCAACTTGCTGCCTGCTGCCTGCCTGCTACTTGCTGCCTGCTGCCTGCCTGCTACTTGCTGCCTGATGCCGCCTGCCTGCCGCCTGCCCGCAGCCTGCCTGCCGCCTGCCTGCTGCCTGCCTGCCAGCCTGCTTGCTGCCTGCTGCCGCCTGCCTGCCGCCTGCCTGCAACCTGCCTGCTGCCTGCCTGCTGCCGCCTGCCTGCTTGCTGCCTGCAGCCTGCCTGCCTGCCTGCTTGCTGCCCGCTGCAGCCTGCCTGCAGCCTGCCTGCTGCCTGCCTGCTGCCTGCCTGCTCCTTGCTGCCTGCTGCCGCCTGCCTGCTTGCTGCCTGCTGCCGCCTGCCTGCTGCTTGCTGCCCCTGCCTCCTGCCTCTGCCTCCTGCCTCCTACCTGGTGCCTGCTGCCTCTGCCTGCTGCCTGCTGCCTGCTACCGCCTGCCTTAAGCCAATATGGCGACGCCTAACGTTCTAGCGTTCGAGCCTGACGGTCGTCCCATCGAGTTCACTGTGTGGTTAGACGATCTCCAGCTGTTCCTTCTGACTGATGCCAAAGAGGGTGTCTCACTATTCGATTACGTCTCTGGCACTGCCGTTACTCCTGCTGCTGATGCTCCTGCTCTAGAACGCTCCCAATGGCAAACTCGTGATGCTGCAGCACGCCTAGCTATTAGGAACCACCTGCCGATTACTGAGCGAGCGCATTTCAGCCAGCACTGAACTGCTAAGACACTGTACGACGCTGTAGTTGCGCGCTACTCCTCCCCGGCCACTGCAGCCATAGGTCGACTCATGCTACCGTACCTGTTCCCCGATCTTTCCTCGTTCACCACTGCTGAGGACCTCATTTCCCACCTGCGCGCTACTGACACTCGCTTTCGTGCCGCCCTTTCAGCCGAGTTCTGCGCCGCAAACCCCCCCCCGATGTACTTCACTCTCTATTTCCTCGTCACCCGCCTCCCTGACACTCTTAGCTCTGTCAGGGACCGCTTCCTAGCACTAGACCCCACCACTCTCACTGTCGACGACTTCGAGAAGCACCTCCTCGCAGCAGAGAAGAACATCCTCGCTGTAGGTGCTGCTCGTGGCACTCCTCGCTCTCCCCTCTTTGAGGGGTGCTCCCCCTCCCCTCTCACCCCCTCCTACGCCTCCGCAGCTGCTGCTCACGACTACCTTGGTGCTGAGGGGGTCGGAGCTGCTTCCGCTCCTAGTGGGAAGCATCACAGTGGCAGGGGCGGCAGGGGTGGCAGGGGCGGTGGGGGTGGCGGTGGAGGTGGCGGTGGTGCAGGCGGCGGGGGAGGTGGAGGTGGTGGGGGTGGTCGTGGGGGTGGAGGCGGTGGAGGTGGTGGTGGGGGCGGCGGAGGCACTGGGAGCGGTGGAGGGGGCAGCAGCGGCGGTGGGGGAGGAGGGAGCGGTAGTGGCATTGGTGGTCAGGGCCAGCAGCATCAGCGTCAGCGCCAGACCCCCACTTCCCAGCAGCTTCTTGACTGGTATGCCGGGCGTGGGGCTTCTGGGGGTTTTGGTCGCTGCCCCTATATCATCCGCACAGGTCCCCGCGCTAGTCGCCAGTGCACAGGTTTTCACACTGAGCAGCGCTGCTTCGCTCGGCTTAGCGACGCCTGGCGCGCCAGGTTTCCTGATGCTCCTGAGTTCCCCAACTGGGCAGAATTGCTTAGGCGTGATGTACCTATCTTTGATCTTGACTATGAGGCAATTCTTGCTGCTATGTATGCCTTGTCTGTTAGTGCTGAGGGTGACTGCTACTTGTGTGTGCCGCCGGATCCTGGTATAGCCCCTGGTATAGCCCCTGCAGCACTAGGTGCTTGTGAGTCTGCTTCCCTTGGTACTGCGCCTGCACTGGCTTTGCACACCTTTACACTTGACTCTGGTGCTTCCCGCTGTTTCTTTCGCGACAGTACCACAGTCACTCCCCTCCCTGCACCTGTTCCTGTCTCACTGGCTGACCCCTCTGGGGGCCCGGTGCTTGCACGGTCTTCCACTGTGCTTCTGTGTCCGGCGGTCCCGTCTGGTGAGCTGTCTGGTCTCCACCTCCCCTCGTTCTCTACGAACTTGGTGAGTAACGCTGTCCTCCAGGATGCGGGGGTTGACACCTTCACCCCTGGTCGGCAGCGTGTGGCGATTTGCACGTGCTCCCAGACTGGTCGCCACCTGGCCACGTTCGCTCGTGCGCCAGGGTCCAGTCTCTACACCCTCACCACTGCGTCACGCTCCACCCCTTTGTCTCCCCAGTTGCACGCGTCTGCTCAGGTAGCTACACAGTGTGAGTGTCGCCGGCTGTCGCACGACACTCTTCTATGGCACCACCGCCTTGGTCACCCCTCCCTGCCTCGCCTACGCAGCATGCACTCTCGCGTCCTGGTTTCTGGTCTCCCCAGGTCTCTGCCTCCCCTCCCTCCCTCGCCTGCGCCGCCCTGCATTCCCTGCGTCGAGGGGCGGCAGCGCGCCGCTCCTCACTCCTCCTCGTTCCCTCCCACAGAGGCTCCACTGCAGACTCTCCACCTGGACGTGTGGGGCCCAGCCCGCGTCCGTGGACAGGGCCACGAGCGGTACTTCCTGCTGGTTGTCGACGACTACACGCGCTACACCACGGTCTTCCCCTTGCAGCGCAAGGGGGATGTCCCTGATGTTTTGATCCCCTGGATCCGCGCTACTCATCTCCAGCTCCGCGAGCGGTTCCAGTCGGACTTTCCTGACCTGCGTCTGCACTCTGACAGAGGTGGTGAGTTCTCCTCATACCTCTTGGCAGCCTTCTGTGCGGAGCACGGCATCCGCCAGACTTTCACGCTTCCGGCCTCTCCGCAGAAAAATGGGGTTGCTGAGCGCCGCATTGGCTTAGTCATGGAGGTCGCTCGTACCTCCATGATCCATGCGGCTGCCCCCCATTTTCTGTGGCCGTTTGCGGTCCGGTACGCCGCGCATCAGCTCAACCTTTGGCCCCGTGTCTCCTTGCCGGAGACCTCGCCCACACTGCTGTGGACGGGGAAGGTTGGCGACGCGTCGCGTTTCCGGGTCTGGGGTGCTCGTGCCTTTGTCCGCGATACCACCGCGGACAAGCTCTCCCCTCACGCCATTCCTTGCGTCTTCCTTGGCTTTGTCCCTGACGCGCCTGGCTGGCAGTTTTACGACCCCGCCTCGCGCTGTGTCTTTGCGTCTCAGGACGTCACCTTTGACGAGTCGGTCCCCTTTTACCGCCTCTTCCCCTACCGCACTGCTCCTCGCCCCCCCCCCGCCGCTCTTTCTCGCACCAGGTCCTCCCCAGGTAGACCCCCTCCCCGCGCCAGGTCCTGCTCCTTCAGGTGTCTCTCAGGTAGATCCCCCCGCGCCTGCGCCTGTTGAGGTCACTGGTGACTCCGGTCCTGCTGGGAGTGGTGCTGTCCCTGGGGGTGCGGAGCTTGGGGGTGCTGAGTCTGGGGGCGCTGAGCGTGTGGAGCCTGGAGGTGCCTCGTCTCGGGGTACTGCGTCTGGAGGTGCTGCGTCTAGGGGTGCTGAGCCTGTGTGTGCTGAGCCTGGGAGTGCTGCGTCTGGGGGTGAGTTGCCTGAGGGTTCTGAGACTACTGTTACGCGGTCTCCTTGGAGTAGCCGTCTTTGTCCGCGTGTGCCCCTCACCTCCCAGCAGCTGCACGACTGGTACGGTCGCCGTCGGCTTCCCACTTCTACACCTCAGGGCTCTCCTACTAGTGGTTCTTCTCCTGGTGTCGCTGGTCCCGGAGGTGCTCGTACTGGGAGTACTGGAGCTGCTGGGGCTGGTGGTTGTGCTGCTGGAGGTCCTGGAGGTGCTGGAGGTGCTGGAGCTGCTGGAGGTGCTGGAGCTGCTGGAGGTGCTGGAGCCGCTG